CTGGCCAGACGGTGATGTGCATGGGGATGCCCCCTTCTAGCCCACAACAATAGGGAAAGTACTTCAAATAACTAACCTTAAACCCTTGTATAAAAATCATGTAAAAACTTTTTTCCTCCATCAATGTGGGACAAAACTCTTTTCTTTCAATATATAAAACAAGTAAAACCAACCTTATCTCACCAATGTGAGATAAGGAGTTTTCCTCCAAAACAAATAACTTATTTCCTTAACATTATTTCCAACACGACCAAGTAAGAATAAAGATTTAAAATGTTCAAAATTTAGATCGAGTTTCAAAGTTCATTAAAATCGAAACTTTAAAAAGAATATTGGAATTTCTTTAGTCTATATAACAATTTGCATTTTTTTCTCTATAAATACATGCAAATCTTTCATATATGATAGTATTGCAACAATATATACTAAAATGGTTAATGCAACTTTCATATAAGAAGATATGTAAAGGAAGAGATTACAAATTATTTTGCATTTAATAACATAGATCCATGCATGATTTTATAATAAATTCTCATATTTATACTCCGTATCATTTAAGAAAATGCATTAATGTATATCAAATCACAACCATAAATTAAATAAATTTGAGTTTATTACAATCAACATATATACTTCCTCCGATTCTTTTTTATGGTTATGTTTTCATTTTTAGCATTCTTTTCTTTGGTTACGTTTCTACTTCCAATGCAATAATATCCTCATATTTATCTACTTCCAATGCAACTATTCCCATTTATTTACTAAAATACAAAGTACTATGTATTTACATATCTCGAAGCAACTATTCACAATCACTCTTCAATATTTTTACCTACTCTTAAAGCATATGTTCCCAAAAATATTTACCTACTCTCAAAACAAATATTCTCATTTTACATACTTTTAAAGCATTTTTCTTAATACTCGTAAAAAAAATCAAGTGTACATAACTTTAGAAAAGACACAGAGGGAGCAATATATGTCGAAAAATTGCATCCTTTTAATAAGTAGTAAACCACAAAGTTAATATGAAGTATTGAAGTATGGAGTATATGATTAAAAGATTAGCTTGATTTCTTTTTATATACTTTCTCCGTTTTTCTTTTATTGCACAGTTAAGACTTTTACACTATTCACATAATGTTCTTTGACCATCTTTTGTGATTTATTTGTAAAGAAAAATATAGTCATGTGAGATCTAATTAGATTCATCTCAAAATCTACTTTTCAAATATCAACTTTTTATAATTTTTACAAATTATAAGTAAAGATATTAATAGCCAAAGTAATGCATTGGCAAGCGTGAGATCACTCATGGTGCAATAAAAAAGAACGGATGAAGTATGTAATTTGCATGCACTTAGTCACTTATACATACACTATATAATCTAATGATTAGAAAACCACATCAGACAACAAAGGCGTCTGTAGCTCAGTGGATAGAGCGTCTGTTTCCTAAGCAGAAGGTCGTAGGTTCGACCCCTACCTGACGCGTCCTTTTTATTTTTTGTGTTAGTCTTGCGTTTCTAGCTTCACTCCACTCTAATTTCTGAGCATATTTTTGAAAAAAAAAATATTGGGTTAATACCAATTGTGAATTTGTTGTTATATCAGTCACTTGTATAATCATCAACTGTGTTTATTGCACCTATGTATGTGGATGTTACTCCATGTCTCCATGCATGTTAGGTTGTAAAGTGTTGGCTAAGTCGAAACGTTCTATTAAGATGACTAAATTAGAGGAATGTAGCAATGTAGCATGTTAAAATTTAAAGTGTTGGCTAGGTCAAAGCGATCTATAAAGATGACAACTAATTAATTAGGGGGGTGTTACTTCATGCATGTTACTATGTTAGGTTTTAAAGTGTCGGCTAATAGGTTGAAGCGTTCTATTAAGATGACTAAATTAGGGGGATGTAGCAATGTAGCATGTTAGATTTTAAAGTGTTTGTCTTTGTCGAAGCGATCTATAAAGATGACAACTAATTAGTGGGGGTGTTACTTCATGCATGTTAGGTTTTAAAGTGTTGGCTAGGTCAAAGCGATCTATTAAGACGACCACTTATTAGGTCAAAATGTAGATATTTTTTAGCTGACTTGATTAAAATCTTAAGATAGATATTCAAGATTTGAGAGGATTATATTAATTCTCGTTTGCATTAATTAGGTCGAAGTTTGTTATTTCTAGTTGCCAAAAGTAGGGTGATTCAATTTCCAATAGGTAGCGTCATGTATGGGCTTATGTTGGGCATGTGCTTAGGTAACCATTATTAAACACTATCAAAACCCATCAAAATTATTTTTTTCTTAAATTTATCTAACTTTTTTTTCCGGAAACTCTAAGTAAAAATAAGATGAACAAAATATCAATAACTGCTAATAAGACGATTTTGTTGCATTATTCCATGTGCATCCTAAAATCAAGAAACTTGATGCTCACTATTCTCACTAACTTTTTTCATGGGGCTTTTCCCTTCATCCCCAACTTTAGTTAAGAGGTTGATTGATCACAACATTCACCAATCTTTCTTACACTAGCGTTCAAGCGATTCAAGTTTGCTTTTCATCCTTTTGGTAACGAATAGATTTCAAGAACATCTTGCTGAGAAAGCATGCTCTTGAGTCTTGACTATGGATATTAACTTCAGATGATTTTACAGTAGCCTTATCGCGGCGAGCACGCTTCTTCTCAGCCTCACGTTTACAAGTTGAGGGAGATGGCGAGATGGGTTGTTATGGCGGTGGCGGGTATCATCCCAATTTTTCTGGGTATCATCCCAAATTCTCAGGGAATTATCCCAATTTTTCTGGGTATCAACCAAATCATTGCCAGGTTGAAGCCTCTCAATCTTGTAAACAATTTTCTTAACCACCTTCTTACCTTTCCTTCCACTAATTTTCTCAGTGACCTATCAGCTTTGTGGTTTTCATCCATGGAGGTATTTTTCTTCTGCTTGGGTTTTCAGAGGTCAAGAACTTCATCAGATGGACGAATTTTTTTATTTATTTTGATTTTTGATTTAAATTTGATTTTATGATATTAATTAAGAAATTAAAAAACGAGTTTCAGAAATTATACAATATAATTTTCGAAAAAAAAAACAGAAATTACAAAAATGAATTTTAATTAAAATATGCTTTGAAAAGTCAAATATTACATGGCAAATTACATCCAATTAATTTATGCCACGCAATAAAGTTTTTGGTAGTCACTTTTCAAAAGATTACAAAAATTTTCAATTATTTCACTAGTTACTCAAATAAATAAATGCATCACTTGCTCAAATAATAGTGAATACATACATTGATGCTTAAAATTGTGCGATGGTAACTACCATTAAAACAAACACAAATGTATGTTAAAAACGACAAGAGTATTTGAAATATTAAAATATTATATGCATAATTATCACTCCGTAGAAGATCCTCAAAAGGATATGTAAAGCTCGAATTCCTTTAAAAAATAAAAGAAAAAAAATGATTTAAAGATGAAAAAATCATGCACATTGATGTTGATAATATAAGTAAACCGCCGAAAGTTTTCTCAGGGTTAAAAAATTAAAATCCATTGCTTAACCACTTTAATAAGAAGTACTATGTGTTTTAATTAAAGAGAAATAAAAATAAAATAAAAAGGAAGAAGAAGAATAATTATCACTCTTGCTGGTAGGACTAGCACAATAGCACATCTTTTAGCAACACACTCAAATATGTCAGCTATATAGAATTATTGTTCTTCTTTAATAATTTGTCTGGCATTTTCTATTTCTCAAATTAATCTTTTAATTCTCATGATTTCAACTTTGAAGTTTGTTCAAACATAATTGTCTCACCAAGTAAGAAGAAGTATTATTGACAATTAACACAATATATAAACTCCTCTTTGCATTGAGATCTTTTCAAAAGTTAAATAGATTAAGAGTATGCACGTGGATAAGAGATTAATTACTATATATTCGTCCAAAATTAACTATAGATCTTACATAAATTTTGGATGAAGATAATCTCTCTTACCCACGTGCATACACGTTCTATTCTAGGTTATTAGGAAGTATATAGTACTCCGTATATGATAGTATAGTTTTTGAGGTGACTCCGTATGGAAATTTTGTGTCGCTTTCTTAAATTTCTCATTGAAAATTTGGGAAATTAAGAGGATAACATTTTTCAAACACTATCTTCGACCTTCTTTTTACTTTACATGCAAAAGTACACATTCTAACATTTTATGTGGCAATGATTGAGTTTGTGTGTTGGAGATTATCGCCAAGGAATCCACCTTCAAAAGTATTAGGATGTCCTTTTATGATGCGACTAAAATGTAACTAACAATTCAAAGTTCAAGTTTCTAAAAATTGTGTAGAGTTAAGTATACAAGTATTTTTTGCTTACTTATGTATTACTCATTGATTAACATAATAAAATGTAACTTAGCTTAATAAGTGTTTATTTATACATACCAATGCAAAAAATTCTACATTTTCTACTTTGTTTTCATACAAAATGTAGATTTTAATTTTATTAACAACTATCAATAAGTCTAATTGCTCATACACGACATACGTATGATTTATATAACAACTATTTTGTATGAGTATATTTTTCATTACATAGCATATAACGACATGGACAGATTTGACTCGAGAGAAAGTTAAGAAAAGTGTGGAAGGAAGGTTTCTTTATGGTTATAGCAATAGCACTTTCAGGCCAGGGTGATGAGCTGTGATTAGCAATTTGTCCTCCAAAGTTGTGGATCGACTCAAATCACTCAATATGTGATTAGCAATTTTCCTAACAACTTTTTTGTATACATATATAAATTCCGTCCTACTTTAACTTTGACTTGACTCTCACCTAATTCATGTATTAAAAGAATAATGATTATTTTGAGAGTATTTATTTATATATATAATATAAAACATAAAACATTAAAAAAAAATTAAATAAATCCTAATCTCCTATCATGTATCTTTTCTTAAAATAAAATAAAACATAAAAGATAATACTAAGAAATTAAAGTAGAAGGAATTCATTATATATTGTGCAACACAATAGAAATTCAGATCAAATACCATTCAAATAATCTCCCTGGAAGTTATATATACATTTTGTAATCCCAGAGATAAATCTCACTCCCAAATTATAATTAAACCTTTATTTCCCTCAAAACACTTTTTTTTCCTATATAAAAAAACCTATAGATCAAACCAAATATTACATAACCTACCAAATATTGTATAGTCCAATAAATCATACATGCAACATTATCATGCAACATATAACAAAGATATGAAATTAAGCCTACAACAAAAATAAAAAAAACTTTGGAGGCTCAATTCCTAAAAATCTATGCAACTTTCTACCTCTACTCTTCTTCATTGTTTTCATCATCATCAATAATGTCATCAAAGAAAGGATCAGCCAAGAGCTCGGTCGCAGAGGGTCTAGCCCTAGGCCGAGCTAGGCACTTCTCAATGAACGCCTTCACTTCCGAATCCTTAACCTTGTCAAGGGCTTGAGGCCTTAACCCAGACGTTACCTTTTTATATATCCTAGCGACGTTGTTACATTCACTATAAGGTATTTCCATGGTAACAAGTTCAATTACACACATCCCAAATGAGTAGATATCGACTAGCTCGGTGTAGTCCTCATCATAAAGCTCCGGCGCCATGAACTCCGGTGTCCCTAGGATGGAATGTGCAGCATGGCTCCTTCCTACTACTGCTGCTAGACCCAAATCCCCAATTTTCACCTATTGCAATGCCACTCTTATCAAAGACTTTAGTATTTACATTCTATATAGTTTTAAAACAATATTATATTAAATGTTTATAAAGAAAATTAGACTTATAAATTACGAAATATGCGTACGTATATTATCCCATCCTATACTTAAAAGTTGTGACATTCATTTCAAAAAATATAAATTACTTATCTTTTTAACTAAAGTAAAAAAGAGTACAATCGTGTTTTTATATTTAATAAAATGAAATAATCAGATTTCAAAAAAAAAAAATGAAATAATCAAAATTTACTTATTTTTTGAACCAAAAAACAATACTTTGTACGGACTGGATAACATGATCACAAAGATTTTTCATACTTATACATAATTGGAATGAAATCAAATAACACAGAAATCACATCACATGGCATAGCAATCTAGTTTGGAATGAAATCAAACAGTACTGAATTAAAGCTCATTTACACCCAAACTATTGCAACATTTTATGTCATGTTTCTGAAAATCACGACATAATTCTAGACAATAAATATTTCATTTGAAAACATACCTATATCCGACATAGCATAACATAACATATCAGAAGAAGAATTAACCCGAAAACAAAAAAGCAAAAAATCGGATTGTTACCTGACCAATGTTACCATTGACAAAGAGATTGCTGCAATTGAGATCACGGTGTATAATACAAGGTTCATGAGTATGCAAATATTCCAACCCTTTCAAAATTTGCTTACACCATTTTTTCAAAGCCCTTAAAGAAACTTGCTTATGTTTCTTCCTATACTCCCTCAAATTTCCCGAGGTACAAACTTCGGTAATAAAATTTAATGTATTATGTTCTTTATCCTCCCAAACATGGTACAACGCAATTATGTTTTTGTTTTTCAAACTCCGTAATAACCTAACCTCGGAAAATAACCTATCTATCATAGAACTATCGCCACTAAATTGTTTCAACTTTACTTGGTTCCATGCCACTTCTATGCCCTCCTCTTGATCAAATGCCCTATACACCTTCTTCACGGCCCCGACACCGAGCCGTTCGTCGTAGCGCCCGTACCTCCCCGTGGGGTCCACCTCCACAGACGCCTCCGAGTCGCTATCCGGTGGGTCCAATTCCTCCGTTTCAATAGGCATCTGTTGGTTGTTGTTATTAATAATATAATTATTTTTATTTAAATTAAAAATGACTTGACCTCTACCATCTAAAATGAACACTTGTATAATAAAAAAGAATTAAATGTTTTTAAAGGCAAGTAATTACTTGATTATATTGCACTTCAATGAGGTTGATGGGTCGCTATTATTGCTTTCTTACTTTAATTTTATATTCTTTTGAATTAATTAAATCAAAATTAATGAAAAAAAAAAGAATTATAACTATGAAAAAAAAAATCATCTAGGAACCAAAGCTATACATTTTTTATATAACAAAATGTTTTTATACAAAATGAAGGAAATAAATTTGAGAGTAAAAAAATTCATGAATTATACCAACAATCCTATGTATATTCATAAATAAAATTTTAAAATTAATTGAATTTATACAAGAAAAAAAACCCAAAAAAAAAATACTAAAACCCTAATCTAGGATAATTTGCACCTAAATAGTATTATAAATCAAAAATCAAGAAAACTATATATATTAAAAAAATAAAAAATAAAAAATAAAAAGGGAGAAAATACCTTATTAGAGTGATTTGAGGGAGGGAGAGAGTCTATGCAACGGCAAGGAGGAGGAGAGAAAAAGCAACACAATTTGAAGAGAGAGAGCAAAAGTCATAGCAATAGAAGCCCATGAACTTTATTTATATAGTGTAGGAACTTCTTTACTATTTAGGTTAGGTGAAAAAGGTAGATTAAAAAAAATATGTTTTGTAATTTTGTATTTGGATATTGTAATTTTTTTTCTATTTGAGAGAGTAAAAGGATGTGATATGGAGGATTGTTTGTTATCTTTTATGTATGGAAATAATCTTCTCATTTTTGGGAAAAATCATTCTATACAAGGTAATAATATTTTCTATAATATTTTTTAAATAAACATTTAAGGTACAGTATATTTTTAATTCTGTAAAAATAACTTAATTCAATAATTTATTTATTTTTTGAAGAAAACAATAAAATTAATTTTAATTCAATAAAAAATAATATCAATAAAAAAAAAATTAGCCTGGCAAAAATAATTTCATTTTAGTAAATTTAATTTCAGTTCAGCAAAAATAAGTTAATTAAAAAGAACAAAACTTGGTTTTACAATTCTTAAAATAAAACTTGGTCTTATGCCATGTTCACTTCACCTAAAAAAAATAATATTCAATAAAAAGAATTTAGTTCAGTAAACATAATTTTAATTCAATAAAAATAAGTTCAGTTTAATAAAAATTAGTAACTTCAATTCAAAGAAGAAATATAATAGAGAATCTGTAAAAAAAATAATTTCAGTTCTATAAAAATAATTTAAGTTCAACAAAAATAATTTCAGTCCAGCAAAAATAAGGTGAAGTGAACATGGCGAGGAATGAGATTTAAGCCATGTTTTTTTTTTCTTTTTATTAATTTTAGAAAAAATAACTTCAAATAAGATAACAACTGAAAAATTAAATTTTGATTCGAGTTACCATATTCAAATTACAGCTAAAATGAATTCTACCAAGGTGTAATACATTCAGATAAGTTTAAGTAAGTTCATATAATAAAATTAAATAAGTTCTGATAAGTGGAAATTAGTTGAATTAAACATGTGTGTATACTATTAATTACGGAGTACTAACTATTTTCTAAAGACAAGAACTTTTTTTCACCAAATAAATTTAATCCGCATATAATTTAGCTTATTTTAGCTGTAAAAAAATTTTGATAGCTCTTCTTAACTTTATAAAACAAAATTGTAAGATTAGTTATATCATTTGAAATAATTAACCCTTTAATTTGAAATAAAGCTCTTAAGATTGGACCAAAAAATGATCAATGTGAAATCATGGGGATATATGCTTGTATAAGTTGAATAGTTAGTGGGGTTTGTGGTCAACACACGATTGTGTGCGTGCGTACATGCTATTTTCAATCATCAAAGTTAGTTGATGATGTTCCAGAGTTGACTTTTTTAATTGAAAGATATATGGTGCCTTCTACGCAGCATTTGGGTTTTGTCCTTTTAAATTGACTATGACAAAATCAACAAATAACATAAAATGGCTTCTAAAACTCAAAGCAATCTTTTGATTTTTTATTATATGTAATCAATATTGGCTTATACTGTATTATATTAGTTCCATACTATATCTCTTTAATCATAATTAATTATACACAAAGTAAGTATTATTATAAGTATAGTAGTACAATAACGGAGTAAATGACGGCTATTTAACTTACGGAATTATTCTTCATTAGCATCACTGTTTTTTGTGACTCTACACTCAAAGAAAAAAAAATATTAGCACTCCATAATACGTAAGAAGTTACAATACGAGTATTCGCCAAGAATAAAAAAATAAATTACAATAGGTTTACTTTGGTATTGTGTATTGTGGCCTTTGTGGGTGCCTCGAGACCATATGCATCAAGACTGAATAAAAAAATTTGTAAAGGAGGAGCTAAGGAAGTGGTCTTTGTGAGTGTTCCACTTCCTTAGCTCCATTTGTAAACTACAAGCTAAGTTTGCTAAATGTACCATAACATCTTTAATAAAAATTCTAATACTAACTAAAATCCTTCAAAATGCACTATTTGCTTGACTTGATAAATTCAAAAATAATCAATTCAGATAAATTTTAATAAATGTTATCCAAGTTCACGTTATTAGCATAGAGACTACACGGTAGTTATATTACTTATATACGAATGTACCCACTACATAGTCATGTACTCCACTCCCCGCTACATGGCCGTATAGACTTTCTATTTTTCTAACACAAGCGATAGAAAATCGGTTAGAAGTTAGAACACCTTCTAAATCAAAAACCTAATTGCAATCTATTAGAAAGTACTCCATAAGATAACCGGATTAGAAGGAACCAATCACAAGCTCCTAACTACACGACACACTACCAAAAAACATAATTCTTTATACTAATGGAGCGTCATATTCATATAATATACACCCCAAATTGGCAACTCCGTATAAAATATTTCTGATTTTTTGGAAAACTCAAATTCTACGCAACATGTATGATATCTGCATGCAATATGCAACATGAATAAACAAATGTAACACTTGGTTACATTATGGTTCATGATGTTCCAACTTGCCCCTACAATTCTTGGCACTCTTTCAAGATGGACAAAAGATCAAAGAGTAAAAAAAAAAAAAAGGTAATTATGCTATTATACCTTTTAACTTTTTTTTTTTTACCCGTATAGGTAATTATATACTACTGTCCGTAGTATTGATTATTATTTTATCTAAAGTTATTAGTGAGACAGTAAGTTGAGTGTCAAATGTATTTTCTCTATCTACAATAATCTTAATGTTAAATTTGAACACATAATCACACGTATTTCCTTCGTTTTTCTTTTATTGCACCATAAAGACTTTTACACTATTCACTTAATCTTCTTACACCATCATTTGTGATTTATCTATTAGGAAAAACATAGTCATGTGGGATCTGGCCTGGTTAGATTCGTCTCGAAATCTACTTTTCAAATATCAATTTATTATAATTTTTACAAAATTATAATTGAAGATATTAATAGCTAAAGTAATGCATTGACAAGCGTGAAATCTCTCATGATACAATAATAAAAGAAGGGAGGAAGTATTAAAATATTTAGTAGGGTGGGGTACTGGGGTGAGAGTGTCAAAGGAGGAGAGTCAATAGAGGGGGTTACTTTACATGGGTTGAGTTAAAAAAAAAATTAATTTGTAAAAGAGAGAATTTTATGGACAACATAAAATGGAATACAAGAAGATTATTTTAATTCTTATTGGTGGACACTCATTATGAACAGGTTGCTAGTAATAAGCTAATAAGTCATAAGACTATATAAATTATAAGCTTGTATAAATTTAAAAAGATTATAGGTTTGGCCGATACCTCAAGTTATTGCATTAATTCTATAATTCCAATTGTCATTGATATGTATTTTTGAAAGATTAACATCATGTAATATTTCGTATGACAATAGCTTGGTGATAAATACTTTAGATTTTTAATGGTTTAGTATAGATAGATTAATAGATTGCATACTTGACTACTCGTATTATAGTTAGATGAACCTTATTAGTTATTACTACATTTTTCAATAAAGCTTGGCGCAGTTTTCATTCAAATATGCAATGCCCCAAAGCCCAAAGGCAGGTGAAATGGACCAAGGGCATCAACATACGATTCTATGGGCCTCTTTTACTAAGCAAAATATAGAATTAGGCAACACTGACCCCATTAATTCAAATTCAAGCCAAAAGAAAGAAAATTGATTAAGTAGACTTCTTTTCACAAGTACAACCTGTACTAAATACTGGAGTTGGCTTGTATGATATCGTTTTTTGTTTTCAGTTTTTTTTTAAAATCAAAAACAAGAAACAAGAAAAAAAAAATGTTTCCACTTTTCTACTGTTAGTTTTCAAATTTATAATGGTTTTAATAAGTTTGACTAATTTTTTATTCATTTTATGACACATATTATATGATTTTGAAAAAACAAAAAAAAAAAAAAAAAAAAAAAAAAAAAAAAAAAACACAACGATGCCAAACACCCATTGCTTAATAAGATTCAGAGATTTGGTCCTCAAAATAACTTTGTTTTAGGTGAAACTTAATTGTGAACATCACAATTCGTGTATTGGATTGTACTAAGCTAATTTTTTTTGAAACATTGTACTAAGCTAATTGAACACAATATACTTCGTACCAAACATCATGAAATTTTTGCAAGTCTTTGGTTATATTTTTTTTAAGGGTTAAGTATGTATATCTCGTGTGTAAGTATCAAATACTTGACATGTATGAGGCTTTGTGTATCAAAGATTATGAATAACAAAGGATATAACAAACTCAAATGAACTAAGGATTTTTTTTTCATTAACAATTAACTTGTTATTTTATTATAATATCTTTATCAATTTAATTGTTGTACAGTTGTACTATATACCTAAGTCATAACTAAATGTTTTCTAATATATATATATATATATATATATATATATATGACTTTAAAAATCAATCCTACATTAATTATTTGATCTCATCATTACATGAACAAGTCCAGTGTTGTTTTGAAGCATTTTAGATCAGCACATGGTTATCTTTTCCCTAAGTTTGTAAGTATTGTTTCATCAATGACGATTTTGTAAAACCAAAACTTAAAAAAGGTTCTGAATTTGTGGGGCTAATAACTCGCCTATGTGTATGACATTTTAGGTATAATGTGTGTTTTGCTATCTTTATGGTATTTTTATTGTTAAGGTTAGTAACATATATCTATGGTTATTTATATGTATAAAAATTCTTGTCAATGGATTATTTTGTTCAAGTACGTAGCAATAGAAAATCATTTACAGACATTTCTTTAATGAATAATGTGACAATTGTTTTCATCAAGCTTAGCTTGTTTAATGTAGTTGCTTGGGGAATCATCTTGTAACTTTAAAGTCAAATCCTCGCAATACTTGAAAGATGCCGATCTTCCCTCCCCATCCCCTATCCACCAATATAGAACCAAGAATGCTATGAGTATTGAGGTATGTCAAGGTCTTTCTCCATTTATAAGAAGACAAGTAGTAAAAAGGGAAACATAATATATACCTTGGGAAAATTGTCAAATAATTAAAAACCCAATACTCATATATCGAAAAGACAAATCAGAGCCTTAGAGGATATGGGTGGATTACATATTCCCAAATGATGCCCA